GACGCTGGAAGCCTGTCAAGATGACAGCTTCCTTGTGCAGAGCTCAATAGACGGCCGAACGCTGCGGCTGTGTTCAGGAGTGCGGCAACGGTGGTGCTAAGGCTGGCCGTCTTGCGGACAGGTCCACCAAGTCTGCTGGCGGCTGGGCGAGCGCTTTGAATGTGGTCGCCAAAGCCTCTTTTGTGCAGCCCACGAATGTGCCCACCAGAGCCTTGAGGACCTTACGAGTGCTTCGTAAGGGGTTGTAGTTGGCCTGCCTAGGCGGAGGCCCACCCCACCAGCCACCTGTCACTTTAAAATAATTTACGTACAAAGTGCCAACCGCGCTGTGGCACATACGATAGAAATTGTCTGAATCGACTGCTAAACTTTCGATAATACAGTTTACCTCCCAAATTGTTACTCTGCAGACCAATGCTATGTTTGTAGATGCTCAGGTAAGGGTATTGATGCCTCTGAGCCTGCTGCTTTGGTAACGGATTTCTTTTTTATGGTGCATGCTGTCCTAGGCTATATTTACCGTATTTTCCATTTTTGGTTTATCTGCATCCCGACTGCCAGGAATTAAAAGTAAAGCCTTCACCGGCTCCTGCTTTTTCTACCAAAATCTTAGCTCACTTTTGACATTTATTTGTACCTGTGTCCTTTTTTCGCGTTTGACGCAGTGGGATTTTGAAAATGCTTACTACTTATTGAGGTGGAGCGTGAAGGTTATGTTCCTGTAAATGTTTTTTTTCTGTTTGACGTCCTTTGCAAATCCCCCATCCTGCCTAATGGTCACAGTGTCTTTTGGGCAGTTCTTCCTGTCTACTTTTTTCTCTTACTCAAAATGCTGCCTCCCTCTTACCTGAGTTGTTTGCATTTTCTTCATCTAGCGCCACCAAAGGAACCGGATACCGTCAAGCTGGATGATTTCATTCCAGTGAGTTCATCAGTCTCCTGCAGTAGATTATGCTTACCTGCCATATTCCTTTTATCGTTTATCTTTTGCGTCTACTGCCATGCCACCTCGCTGCCCTAGGTGATGAGTCAGCTTGAATATTAACAAGTGTACGCAAAACACCTCTGCGGTAAGGCAGTGTAAACTGTGGTACTTTAGGGGCCGTGGTTAGATCGTAAAGTTGCTCAGTCGCCGCGCCCGTCCTCTGAGCCTGTCTTGCCATTGAAATC